AGTCGGGGTATTTGACTGCTCTACTCACTGTATTATACTTATTTTACACTCAATAAGAATACAACAGCGTTGGTGTACAATAATTGTCTATTTGCAAACTCACATGCATTATTGTGGAAATAATCATAACTATGAAACATAATTCTGCGGCCGACAAGCTGCAGATTATTATTATGAACAGCAGCTGTCCTATCGAACCCCGTGAGAAACTCTTTCCAAAAATCGGTTTGGGAATTCGGTCAGAAATTGCACCTTAATCCATCAAAACACCTTACACATCCGCCTACGTCAATTCGATGGGGTTATATAAACCAAAATTTTATAAAAAAAAGTTGACAATTATACAAGAGCGTAATTAAGTGAGATGATCAAGGGGAAAACCCATAGAATAAAAATAATTGCATGGGTAAGAACGAATTTCTTTTTCTTTGGTGGGGTGATAAAAATTGACGTATATACTCCACTAAAAAAAAAAAAAAAAACAAATTATATCACTGGAATCATGTTAGATCCTCCGTCTTTTACAAATATTACAATTAATTTATACAAAAATTAAGTTAAGATTTTGTATTATAGAAATATCTATAATACAATATCTATAATATAAAGTTAAAACATATTTTTTTACATAATTAATATGTACAATTTTTAGTTACATCTATCGAAATTATAATGAAAAAAAACTCTTTTAATAGTAAATAAATAATCACTAATAAAATTTTAAATATATTTAATGAAAGCAGTAGTAGTACTATTTAATGTTTTGGGTTATTAGATCAATTATTTATTTATAACTTTTTTTGTCTTTTGAACAATAAATTTTTTTGGGAAACTGAAATGACTTTTAGGGGGTTAAAATATATAGAGTATTGTATAAAGTATGTACAGAGTGATTTACTAATTTGAAAATATAAACTAATGATAAAACTAATAAATCACAATGGGACACTGTATATTTACATTATAGAATACCATCGGTGGCAACATAATATTTGTCTTTAAGTGAAGTTTGAAAAAAAAATTAAGGGGTGATTAAATTTATTTTTGCCTTGTATTATAGCTTATATTATTATATTATAGCTTTTATATATAATCGAATGAGAAATATACAAACATTGTATAATGAATTTTCTTTACCTTATGTTAGTTTAAATTGATTACTAAATATAAATTTTTTTAGTGAATATATGGCTTTAGACATCCAACGAGCATTATGAATTGCGCCACGATTTTTAAAATATATGCCACGAGTAGGAATATCACCAAGAAATACAACAACTAATTTCAGAAATTCTTTATAATCGTATCTGTTATGATTTTTGTTTAATTGATCCATATAAAAGGCTATATATATCATTTTGTAAATCATTTAATTTTTCACTGACTATTATACCATCTGAGCTAGTTTATTAATATAAACTTTTGGCCAAAATTATCGAAACCGTTAAAAAATTTGAACTTCTGGACCAGACAAAACGACAGAATTTATATAAAATGCAGCTTAAATTATAATTTCATAAATATGATGCCCACAAAAAAAATAAAAAGACTCACGTTCTGATAGATGTTCAAGAACTATATACGCCCTTAGATTGTTTTATGTATTACTTTAATAAGTATAATAGCACACTAATCGTTCGTGAAATTAAATAGTAAGAAAGTAATACATTTATGTTATCGCTTTTAAGGTATTATTTATTTATAGAAATAACACTCATGATTATTGTTTATGTTTAAGTATAATTTTAAAATTTTATATTATATAACAACTGATTAGTAAGTAAAACTTGAAAGGAAAATTTTTTTTAAATATTCATTGTTTTGGTGTTACATAATCAATGATTTTTTGTGTTTTTTAATTAATTATTGTAGAAAATTTTACATTTATTAAATAAACACTTCAAGTAATAGTTATAGTAAGTTAAATGATATATTACAGCCATTAATCGTATTCTTATAAATATTTTCAATGAAATATTGGTAAAGAACTTAAAAAAAAGTGTCATTTAATAAAAACACGTTTCATAACTTTCAGGACCGGAGACACGAGATAAACTTAATTAATCGACATCAAATTTCATACATTTTATTTTTATACCTATTGAAACCACTTAAGACTATAAGACAAAAAAAAACCTATATGTTGGAGGACCGAAGTATCATTTAATAGAAACGAAAGTATTTTTTACATTTATTTAATATATTTCTAAATTATTGAATTCTAATAATGTAGGTATATGATAATAAAGCTTTGTTTATGTATGATATTTAATTTTATAAACAACGAAAAATTTAATACTTGTACCAAATTTAGGTAAACTGATGAAATGTTAAATTTTTTCAATTTTGTTTTTCAGATATTCTCATTTAAAGGTAGTTTTAATACAAATATTTAGTTAAATCTTAGCAAAAATAAATTTTAATACCCAACATATACTTTTAAAAATTATTACATAAAAGTAATAAAACAGATCAGTGATAAATTTTTGTATGTTTAATATCAATTCAAATTATGAAGAGTGTTTCATACAATACATTAAAAATAACAACATTAAATATACCTTAATAAATGAATTTTTATTTCAACAGGCTCTAAGGATAAGCTTTGAAAATAAACAATTATTGTGATGTAATAAATCAATGTTATTTTATAGTTAAATAAGGGTAGGCATTTACAGGATATTCCATGTTAATAAAAATTATAAAATAAATATTTATTAAATAAAATTGATTAGTAATTTGTATAGTGTTTAAATAACTAATGTATGTTAGAGTACAAAGGTATGAGTGACCATCACTAAAAGTTAAAAACTAAAAAATCGATTAAGGTACGAAATAGTTGGCACTCTAAAAAAATTCAGGATCTCTGACGAATAATAAGTTTATCGAGTTTTATAAGTGCGTCTGAACGATATTTTTATGATTTAAAAATTAATAAAAATAGTTTTTTTCCAATTTTAAATCGTCAACGTTCGGCATCCGTTTTTATCTCTATGAACGCAAGTCCATGAATTTATTAAAGAATTTTATTTTGTTATTTTGTATATACAAGTGGCCTAGCGCATTCACTGACAACTTAAATTGATTATTGGTCCAATACATTTTTTTTGCAATGTTTTTTTTTTTTTTTTTATTGTTAATATACTCAAGGGCTATAATAATAATTTAAATAATATCATTTTTAAATTTAAAAATTAAAAAAAAGTAAATTTAAAAAATTTACTAAAAATATTTAAAAAAAATATCAAAATAGCCATTTTTAAAAATAATTTGGTGAAAAAAATTCTCATTAATGTAGTTAATTTTCTGTAACATTTTAAAATTCATAAACATTGTAATTTTTCTGTATTTATTCTACGGTATGTTACATAAAAAATAACATTAGTATACACTTTCTTTTCATACTAAATATGATATGAGTATGAATTTTTCATGAAAATTTTTAACATTCCAATTACTGACTTTAGTTCAAATAAAAACACGAACAATACCTATTATTTAATAAGAAATTTTATCTCTTTAAAGATAAAACTACTTATCTTACTTTTCTTCTGACCTTGTCTCAACACGTTTTCAATGTTTAATACCGTAAAAATAACACATGATAATTCAAATTTTCACAAACTTTAAAATGATACAGACTATTTACTACTGAATATTAATAAGATATTTTTTTACCAAAATTTTTCTTAAAATATACTCTACAAAATAGCTAGCTATCTTGGATTTTTTTTTTACATTTTATTTAAAATTTAGAAATAATTAATATTTTTAATAAAATGTAAAAATTTAAATTATTGAAATATAATTATAGACTTAACGTATAACTGGTATTTAAAAAAAATATATTAACTAAATAAAAAATTATTTAAGTTGTCAGTGAATGCTGGGCCACTCCGTATTATTATAAGATATTAGATTTAATTTTTTTTTTTTTTTAATTATAGAAGTAAAACATTATTATTGCAATTAAGTAATAAAATGAGTATATGTTTAGCATTGATAATGGTAACATTATTTCCGAAATACGTATCCAAGATTTTTTAACTAAATGATTTTTGAATTATTTTTTTTTTAGTTTTAAATTAATAATATTTTTAATATAGTTAAGGCGCTGATATAGGCAATAACCGAAAGGCACATACAAAAAATCATAAATAAGGTGTGTATTATATACATAACGAAATTAGTAATATATTTTAATAAAAGTTACTCTTTTGGTATTAATGAAGTAAGGTTAAGTGGATTAATACCGTTTTTAAATTTAAAATTATGTCTTCTCTTTTAATTTAAAAGCAAAACATTTTTTTTCCTTTGCAATTGCTTTCATTTATTAATATTGATTGAACACTTACATTTTTTTGGGTCTTTAATATTATTTTTAAGTTAACTAACACAAATTTACCTAAATAAGTATAAGTATTAGTTTTCTTAATTAACTTAATTAAGATTACACTAAATAAATATAATTGTATACATATGATAGCATATTTTATGAAATAAAATGCTAATTTTCAATTATTTTAAACATTGCACATAAATAATATATTAACTAGAATATATTTATATCCTATATATTTATCAAATAAATCTGTTAATGATTTTATGAACTCAATTTGAGATACTTACGCTTATTGTGTTATTATCTTAAACATATAAAAGTGAAAGTTTTAATTATGTTAAATAAAAGAAGTTTTTTCCTTGAATTTAGCTATAATTTTAATTAATTAAGTAGAATTGCACTAGTTCAAAATGACCCAACATATTATATTTTAATATTAATCAATATAAAAATGTACTGAAGAAATTTCAAATTGATTCAAAAATGTTAAATTTTGCTTTGTACAAAAATAAAAGAAGATACTTATTAATGGAAAACTTGAAGATCATAATCCATCACCTTTCATGGAATAATAAATATTATTATCGACAACGGAATGATTATGCTGTTTTATATTTTAGGTTATGTTAAAATAATGTTATTATTATCAGCATAAATTTTATGTTATTACAATAAAAGTTTCTGTTATTTCTGCTTTAGATACATTTTCATAAATACTGTAATTTTAGTTGTAATTATTTAAATTAATCTTTTATTCATTAATATTTTACTTTTCTTTTTTTTCAATTATGTCACTTATTAACCATTGTGGATATCAAGCTGATAATATTAATGGTATTCCTGATTTGACAAATGATGAAGTGTCAACTGGTGTAAGAAATATTATTAAAATATATAAATTTTGAAATTGAGTATGCATGTATATTTTTCACAATTAGTCAATGTCATTATTAGGTTTTTGGGAATAATTTTTGTAAACTTTTGACAAAATTTTAGTAATTTCTTGGTTGCGTACAACGGCATTGAGTATAGTTTTATAATGATAAATTTTTTTCTAAACATTTCAGACAACTATTATTGCAGCTACATATAATGGGGGTGTTGTCATTGGTGCTGATTCTCGTACAACAACTGGGTAAGGGACTCATGAATTTACTGCATATTAATAATCATAAAACAGTTTGTTTTTATCTTATCTGAATATAGAGCCTACATTGCTAATCGAGTAACAGACAAGCTTACTAAGGTGTCTGATAATATTTACTGTTGTCGATCTGGATCAGCCGCTGACACACAAGCGATTACAGATATAGTATCATACTATATGGATTTATCAAGGTAAAATAATGAATAAATAGTTATGTGTTATAATTAAGTATGTTGTATTTAATTTTATTAGTATTCAAATGGGGGAACCACCCCTTGTAAAGGCTGCAGCAAATGTGTTCAGAAGTCTTATTTATGAAAATAGACATCAGTTGACAGCTGGTATTATTGTTGCTGGTTGGGATAAAAAATTTGGTGGCCAAGTATAGATTTTAGTTGTTTTATTTAAATTTTTACAATTGTTAAGTTTAATAATTTCTTTAGGTATATACTGTAACTGTCAGTGGAATGATAATCCAGCAAAATATTTCCATTGGTGGATCTGGTAGTACTTATCTTTATGGATTTATGGATTCACAATATAGAGACGGAATGACTAGAGAAGAATGTGAAAACTTAGTTCTTAATGGTATGTATAAATTTTTTTTTAAATATTTAATAAATGTACTAATTTATGTTTTTAATCATATATAGCAATTTCCTTGGCTATCAAACGAGATGGGTCAAGTGGAGGAGTAGTTCGTTTGGGAACATTAGACCATACTGGTGTTATTCAAAGAAAATTAGTACTAGGCAATGAATTGCCAAAATTCTATGATAATGTTTTAAAAAAACCTAATAACCAAGATGCTCCTATGGCTTAATTTTATATGAATTGTTAAATTTAAACTGATACTCTGGTAATAGATATTATTATATCTGTTTTATTATGAATTTGATGGTCATTAAAATAAATAATATTTGCGTAATAATGTTTAATTATTCTTCAAATTATAAATATAAAAATAGCATCCCAGCTTCAGTTTTTGGTAATTTAATAATACTTTTCAAAACCAGTTTATCTTAATAACAGATAAGCGGTGTGGAATTGAGAACTTGGAAAAATCCGTAAGAAAATAATTTAATGGAACTCAAATTACATGATAATTTTAATTAGTCATATTTGTGTAAATATTGATGTATCAAATAGAGAATAAGCTAAAAATTCTTCATTTTTTTAAATACAATAAGGAGTGGTGAATTTTTTTTAAATAAGAGTGATTTCTGATTTATTATTACACCGTTTGTTGATATTCACATATAATGTCCTACCTAGTTGTAACATTAGTTTATATTTCAAATTAAAAAATCACAGTGGGCATCTGTATATATAAATTATAGAATATCACCGAGCAACATAATTTTTGTCTCTCTCCTTAACCGAAGTTTGAAATAAAATAAGGGGCGACTAAATTTATTTTAGCCTCTCCCTAAAGTTATTTTTTTACTATATTAATGATATTTCTGAATTTCCGGAAGAACTAATTATGTTTAAAATAATCANGGGCGACTAAATTTATTTTAGCCTCTCCCTAAAGTTATTTTTTTACTATATTAATGATATTTTGGAATGTGAATTGTTTTAACGTAAAACATACTATAAACATTTTATTTTAATATGCGTTGTAACTATTTTTAAGTATTAAAAATATTTAGATTCAAAATTAATATTTTCAGTTATTATGAAATTATGATACTCAATTTAATATAATATATTAAAGTATTTACTACAAAATTGATTTAACATTTTTTACAAAAAACTAAACTAAATGATAAAATTTATTAAATAATCATTATATTGAACAGTTTAAATAAACAGGGTAAAATAAAAGGCACTAATTAGAAAATAGAGCTTCTAGAGTACTAAAATATGTATCTTAATGTTCCAACTTTAATACAATTAATCAATGTATAAATAAAAAAACGATTTTTGAAAAATTCTTAACAGGTACTTAAAAATTAGCAATTGTTTTAGTTTAATATTAACTAAAATATCAAGGTAGTTTTACCTTAATCATTTTTGGATTTCAAAAATGTATGTTCGTAAAATTCTTATGAAACATTTGCTATTAATAAATGAATTACTGTATTTTATTGCCTATGTGTAAGAAGGTCCAATTTTAGTATTTTTTTTTTTAATGGTTTAGTTTTTACAAATCAATAATATAAAAATGAATTATTTATTAATAGTAAAATTTGATAAAAATAAACCATTTTTTACTTTTAGATTTTTTCAATTTAAATAATTTCTCTATTTGAAACACAGTAAATTGAAATATTATTCTTTGGCCACTTCTTCAATTAGTTGTTACAAAAATAATAGTGATATAGTAAATATGTTTACATTGAAACAGACATAAAAATAACATGGTGAAAATTGGAATTTTATAAGAAACAAATAAGTGTTTTCTCAAAATTTAAGTTAAATTATAATAACCTATTGGGCAATTTGCAGTTGATTAAGTAAATAATACATAAGCATTATACAAAAAAATAGAAGGGTAACAAGGTGCAACAAATTTTAGGATTTTTGAAAAGCTTCTAAATTATGTTATAGAAAAAAATCAGTCTATTTCTTTTTCAACAAATATTTTTTACAAAATTGAACATAAGTTACTTGTTTTAATTATATACTATTGTTGCACTCATGAGTGTATAACAATTTAAAAATATTTAGTATAATTTTTAAATAAAATAAAAACTTGGCTCACTTTTTTTTAACAGCAACTGAAATGAATAAATTATACATTACGTAGTATATGTTCTTATATCTATTATTTATAATATGTTCTTAAGGAATAAAAAAAATTTATATTAGTAAAAATAATATAAGAAATATATGTGATACTTTTTTTTTTTTTTTTTTTTTAACAATGTAACACCACAGATTAGGAATATTATATTAATATGTAAAAGAAGGNTTTTTTTTTTTTTTTTTTTTGTGTAACAATGTAACACCACAGATTAGGAATATTATATTAATATGTAAAAGAAGGAAATTAAAATTATACAGATAAAAATTTCAAGAAAAATAATGAAAATGTTTTATTTCTAAAGCGTGCAAAAGGAATGGGGAGAAGAAAATATAAATTTCAACAATGTTTTCACAAATAAAATAAGTGAATAATAAACGGCATTTAATTTAATATAAACATTAATGCACCACAAGATCACTTATTATGTCTGCATTAAGTTTTATAGATGTAAAAATACATATAAAATATTGTTTAAATTAAACCGTATTAAGTGAACAAAAATTCGGAAGAATGAGATAATCATGAAAGTAGTAAGGATTAGGCAGTTGTTGCAGGTTTAACTTCTTCTAGTTTTGGAAGATCTTCTTCATTTTTTTCTTTGCCTTTACCCTGCAATCATTGTTTATTATCAATTTTAGCATAATTAATAATTACAAATTAACTAGGAGGTAGAAAATAAGATATACTATTTATGGAATTTATAAATAATTTTATAGAAATTATGGCTTTAAAACAATTGTTTTTTTTTTTATCAATATTTAATTTGATATATATATATATAAATCTATTCTAATAAAATGATAAAATATTTTTTAAAAGTATTAAAATTTATTTTAATTTTTTCCATTAAAAACCCAAAGAGTTATATTTGTAAAACACGTGTATTTATTTTTAAAAACACACATGATAATTTTGTTCTATCTCTGTTGTAATATAAATTGTAACGTAATCAAAATTCTGATTTCTTTTTTTTTTTTTTTTTTACATACAATTAGAAAACTATTTTTTTAGATGATATAAAGGTTAGTATTAGTTAAAATAAATTATTAATATTTTAAATATTTTTAAAATGAATTAGTCTAGCGTGAGAACATTTTCCCATAAAATTGCATGAAATAACAAATTTTAAATAATTGTTTTTAAAAAATGTTTTTTGGTATGCTAGTTTACAACTATTGGAATCTATGCCAATATTTATTTTTATTTTATGACACCATATTACTTAAAAGATATAATTTGTATAACATTACAATTAAATTTTTAACATTACATTTGTGCAACTATAAAAAATTAAAAAAATTGTTTAATAAAATTAAAAACTTACTGCTTCAGTTTCAATGTCATCAAGGTCTGGCATTTCTTCATCATCAGAATCTTCATCAGAAGGTTCATTGAAATCTCCTCCTAAACCACCTAATCCTCCCATTCCTCCCATGCCTCCCATTTTTCCAGCTCCACCCATCATACTAAGCATCTATCAAAATAAATTAAATGATTATATTTTATTTTAATGATTAATTATATTAGTAGTATTAACATACATCATCGATGTTACCATCTCCTCCACCTGCTGCTTCGTCATCTGTTTCATCTTCATCTTTCCATTTTTTAAAATCTACTTTTAACCAATGATATTTCTTCTTCTCTTTGGTTAAATGTGGCCAATATTTTGTGTCTTCAGAAGGTTTTAGTAAAACGAGCTCAATGTAGCGACCACCAACTATAGTTTTACAATTCTGTAAAATTATACATATATATAAATATATATATTAGTGCTTATTATAATTAATAAAACAAATTATACTTACTTCAGGTTCTACTTTGGCGAATAAGGGTATGGTAACTTCATAAACTTTTTTTTCGGGTCCTCCTACACCTCGGAAATATACCTGTTCAGGTTCTATATTAATATCTGGGTTTTTGCAATCTTCTAAACATATAGTTATATAAACAACTGTGTTTCGTTGAGCCCAAATTACTGGTGGTACCAAAGGTCTGAAAATTTTAATTTTTTCATATAAACTAAGTTATATATGAATTTTAAAACTATTTTAGTTATAACACATATAAAAAAAATAAAAAAACAACTATCATATTTAATAATAATGTCAATGTTATCTTGAATTTAGATATGAGCAGATAATATTGACAGTAGTAATGATAAAAAATAAGTACTTAAGATATATTTAGGTTTATCTAAAATTACTAATCCAACATTATGTTAAAGTTTTTATATATAAAATTGTTACAAATTTAATGTTTCCAAATTCACTGAATTCACAAACAACTGTTTTAGAAATTATATACCTGGTTTTAGGAGTCTATAATGAAAATTCCTTACAATTCATCAATATCCATGATATATCCATTATTTCTCCAGATATTTAAAAATATCCTAACTTTTTTTTTAGAGATATGAGAACAATAATTAGACTTTTAAAAATATTTTAGTTTTATAATTCCTTGACTTTCTAGTCATTTCCTAGGAAGGAGTAAAACACAAAAAAAAAAGATATTTATTAAATAAACCTCTACTCATTAGTGCAATATAGTACCATGGTTAATTATGGTATTTTTACCAACATTAATTTTTAGGTACACTTATTCCTTATAATAATGCATAAAAAATGTTTACGTTTCCCCTATTCTACTTTATTATATTATAATACTTCAATATTTAATAATTTAAAACAGATACCTAGGAATATTGTAAAATGGTTATAATTGTAATGAAATTTATACAAAAATCCAAGAGAGGACTGACCACGGGAGCAATTGCCCCTGGGATACTTCTTTAGAGCGATGAAGGCTACTATGATTTATTTGGTTTTTTAAATTTATTTTTTGCTAATCAATTCATTTTATGGAGTGATGGCACCCCAATGACATTATACTTTAAGTTTTCTTAGTCAAATTTCAAGTAATTTAATAAAATTCTGACAATCCAATGATTCTTTGACTAAAAATAAATGTTCCTGAATTTTAATGGCTTTCTTTGTTTCCCTTATACAAATAAGAAAAACAAGGGAATTATAAGGGTTGCCACAAGGACCAAAATTCTGTTTTTCAAATATGAGGTACCTTAGATTTATTTTTATATAATTTATAAACTATTAAATGTATTAATAAAAAAAATATATTTTTAAGCATATCACATATTTACAAAAGATATAAGTTAATTCTGGAAAAAAATTCAACTAACCATTCTTTACAATAAGAATAATTTACATTTAAATAATCAAATCTTGAGAAGATCACATTTTCAAAAAATATTGAATTAATTATTATATAATAATTGATGAAAAATAATAATACAGTAAATATTTTAAGAATGAATATTTAGTAAAAAAACTAATAAGTATTGGTTTTTTATCAACTAAATCTTGAATAGTTTTTTCTTTAAATACTATTTATACATTTTGAAATTTTCAAAAATCTTATAAGAAACTATTTCAGCCAAGCTGGACTTAACCTTGAAATATAGGCCTTTTAAATGTATAACGAACTAAATCCATACCAACCATCCGTCAGGTAGAACAATAGCGGAAATCAATAATCATTGCGTTCAAATAGCTTTGCTTACATAACAACCAAATAGATGGTCAAAACGAGAGATTAGGTCTTGTTGGATAAAATAAACGGTTATGGCGACTAAGCTTTACCATGTTGCCGAAACAGGAATGCAATCAAATATACATGCACGTGCTCTTAACGCATGAAAACATTTCAAATAATAGAATGAATAACAATTAAAAACTGTATTAAAATAAATTTTAACAATGGCGTCGTTGACATCACCTCGTGACAATAATAAATCGTCTTAGGTTAACGTGTTTATGAAACTTATTATTATACTTACTGTTCGTTGGTCATTGCGATTGTATAAAAATGTAATGCTTCAAATAAGTGTAAGAAGTTAGTGTAGAGCGTTTAACGAACAGTATTAACAAAACTGACAAAACTACTACTCATAAACGATTAACCGGCAAATACTACTGATCGTCAATTGTAAAGAAGAAAATCATTGAGCTAGCGGCGGTAGAAATGCTAAGGAATAAACTTGATAGAGTGAGGTAGAGAGTATAAACATGGAACCAAAAAAAAAACATTTCATGGAATAAAAACTATATATGTGGGAATATGGATGAAATGCGAGCGAGTTATTACAAAAACATGTTTTATTCAGTGAATATTAAAATATATCGCTAATGCTAAATGCGTACGTAAAATTAATAGTGGGAGGCGAGGAGTCATAAATTATAATATATAGTTTTAATAGCGCTTATTGAGGATGAAAGGAGAGATGTACTTCCTCAGGAAAATAATTATGTTGGCTAAAAGTGGTTATGTTCAAGACCTATTGTTAAAACCTGAGGTATTCCATTTATTTCTTTTGTATAACTAGAACATATTTTAGATTTGATACATAGTTGAGTAATGTGGTATTAACTACAATATTTGTTTCCTATCTATCCATATCAGAGTTTATTAAAAACATATTAAAAAAAATTTGGTTTATAAAGAATTACAATGTTTTTTAATTATAATCTTTTGAATATGTTTTATATAAGATTTTTAAGTTAAAAAAAATTGATATTCAAATAGAAGGTTAGAAATTTAAATCCCAGGTTATATTTAAAATTGCTCTACAAAAAGGGACGGAAAAAATTTAATTAATATTAATTCTCTCTTTTCTTGTATGAATTTTAGGAGGGATGTGTTCGCACTCTTAAATCTAATATTGTTTATCTAGTATTATATATTTTTTAATAATTAAAATATGATTTACTAATTAAAGCTTACGATATGAAATCTATTTAATAATTAGATTAATTACCGGTCAAAAAAAGCATCGTCATAATGTATTAGACTAGTTTACTAGTACATTTACTTGAATACAATTAATATGTATGGAGTCTGTTTTTGGTCTATTACTGGAGTAAAGTACTTTCTGTGGATAGCTTGTCCTCATTTCTATGAACCAGGCCTGTGCAATTTTGCTAATTAATTGAAAGTTACAATCGATTTAATCGATGAAAAATGAATCGATTATATTGAATAATCTATAGTTATGTAGTATTACATTGTGAATACAATCCAATAAATCGATGTTTTGATTTTGAATGGAAGATATAACAATGTCGGTCTTTTAGTTTTTCGAATTTTCATTTTATTTTAAATCGTCTATTTCAAGACTAATACCTAAGTGCGAATGGAAAAAAATAATTAACATAAATCGAACGTTCTCTCGATACATATTTTATTTTATATAGAAATCAACACAGGAAGAATTTAAATTTATGTAAAAGTATTGATTGATCTTTTTTTATTTTTATATAATTTAAATTTCGTAAAAATTATCAACTTATATTTATTTATGTTAAAGAGCATCGCAGGTAGAATCAAACTCAACCGTCCTTATTCCATTGAAGTAGGTCGTTGTAAGTTATGATATCAAACAAAAAGAATATGTAATGGCTCGTGCCAAGAACTAATGATGATTTAAGTCGTCTAGTTGCAAAATTGTATATTAATAAAATTATTTTATAATTTTTTCTTATTCTTAATTTATAATTGAAAAAAAGAATTAGTAAAGTCAATGATAACATTATCACTTATTTGTAATAATTTCTAAGGGACACAATACTGCCGGCTGTTATCATAGCTATGGACTTGTCAAAGTTATCATTATTGTCGGACTTCGTCCATCCAATTTGATACACGTATTAGTTGAAACTTCAAGGTTGGAATTCCAATTTTAAACGTATTTCTATTTTTTATCATAAAAAACGGTAAATTAAATGTACTTATTATTGTAAAATTTGGGTTGGTTTTACCTTCTATTTATATTTGATATCTAAACATCTTGAATAATTAAGTAAATTATAATATGGTTGATACCTACCTAATTAAGTTTATTTTTTAAATTTTAAATAAATTAAAGTAAGTTAATTTTATCATTTAATAATATTAAACAAAGAAGAATATAAAAATAGTTAAATGTTATGTATTAAAATTAAAAAGTATTCATTTATATTGATTTTTAAATCATACATTTTAGATTATGATAATTCTTGATGTGCCTTGAACATATTTAGTAATAGTGCTTACCTGTAAAAGTCAACAATGAGTTCTGAATGAACTCAAGTATCTCATGATTATTCTAACTTAATGGTTTAAGAATACATATCATTTTTATCAGTATGTCTTGGATTCGTAATAATTCAATGACATGGATGCAACGTTTTTGTGGCCAAGTCTTGACTTATGGACCTATACCAAAGCATGTAGCATTTATAATGGATGGAAATAGACGTTATGCTAGGAAAAATAATGTTGAAAAATGTGAAGGTCATTCAAGAGGGTAAGGTAGTTTATGCTTTGTAACAAATATTATAACTTAATAATGTTAATGATATTATTTTGTTCCTTAAATTATAATTAAATTTAAGTTATTTTCATAGTATTATAAATATAAGAATTGAAATTTTTATATTATTAAAAAAATAATTTTGATATGTAATTTAGGATGAAGTGGGTAATTGTAAATGTATTTATCTAAAAAAATGCATGAAATATGATAGAAACACATATAAGGACTAAAACTTTTCAATCAAAAATAAAATATACTAAATATTCTAAGAGAAAAAATTAATTTACAATTACCCCATTTGTTAACATTTATTGTATTTTACCCTATTCATTTCTAATTAAATTAATATGAATTATTTTAGGTTTGATAAACTATCTGAAACTTTACAATGGTGTTTATATTTGGGTGTCAAAGAAGTAACAGTATATGCTTTTAGTCTGGATAATTTTAAAAGAACACAAGAAGAAATTGATACATTATTCAATCTTGCTAGAGAAAAGTTTAAAAGACTTCTACAAGAAAAGTAAATTAAATTTTTTTAAATTATGTAATAATATATATTATAATATTTTATTTCCTTGGTGAAATATATTATTAAAGTATAGTTATGTGTATAAAACAGGGTGGGGTTGTGAAGTAAGCATTTTAAAACGAAAAAAACCCTATAGTTTTTTATGAGGGTTAGTAAATTTAAAATCATGTTTTACATACCTTAGTATTTAGTAATCTTCCATGTATACTATATTTGCATAGACTAGGGTGTCTGGAAATTAGATCAAAGATTATCTCTTGTAATATATTCATTCCGTTCCTACAAGAAGCTGTGAAAGATCCACCACAGCAGTGCTTGATACTGTGGTAAGGCATATTATGGCGCACCCAAAATGTTAAAATTGGGTTAAATGTCTACTTCACTTTTTGGTATACTACCCTGTTGATTAGCGTCTCTCACTTAGTATGTGGGTCTATTTGCTATTTGCATGCAAGTATGTTTATGCCTACCAGCCCCAAAAATAGGAAATGAAAAAGTAACTACAAAATGATTTTTCATACACATATTCTTAATTTAGTTTACATAAAAATCAATAGAAGTTAAATGATGGTAAAATGTGATATAGAATCAGGCAAGTATTGGCCTACCAATATTATGGGTAAAGTTCTAGTGGGTACTTTAACAAATGATGAACAAGAATAAAATAGAACATCAATCAATAATTTTTGGTGGAATTAGATTTCTAGAAGTTATTTATTGGTATAAAGTAATGACTAGGGCCAGAAAAAAAATTTTAGGCTAGTATGGTCTGTGAGTGTGTGTATCTCATACTGGTATTTGTATACCTCGCCCAAATTTCAAATCTACTTTATATATTAAAATGCTAGTAACTCAATGAGTACTTCTCCTAAAACTATTATCGACGCATCAAATTTTTTATAAAAAAATTATTCAGTTTGGTGCTGATGATGAAAATATCTTTTTTAAAATACATATCCTCTGTTTTTAAAACTCTTTTTGTGGTGTTGTGTTTACTTAATATTTTTTATTTTTAATTAATTAGTCCCAAGTTATCAATAATAATTTTTTATATTAAAATTAATTCCTTATTTTTTGATAAAATACTATATCTTCTCCAATATAATTATTTTTGTCTTGGGGAGATATGACATCCATATCCTCCAGTAATAACACTAGTGCAATCGAAGGGTTTAAAATAAATACATAATTCAGTATATCATGCGTTTTTTTTTAATTATTGAGTTTGACGTAATAAAAATGAATCTGTCCTTAAAACATAATTTAGTGTTTTTACTTGTAATTTGATTTAAATATGTTTCTGTATTTGTTTTAATTTGCTTTTGTCTATGAACATATTTTGTTATAGAGATAAACTAAATAAGCATGGAGTGTGCATAAATGTTATTGGCAATTTAACTAAATTACCAGCTGACTTGACCAAACTAATTGCTGAGTCGATGTATATTACAAGACATAATAATAATGCATTGTTAAATGTGGCATTTTGTTATACAGGTTTGTTTTTTTGCTCTTGATTTAAGTTGGTCAATGATTTTGTCTACACATAAAAATAATATTAGTTATTATGAAGTTATAATGCATTATTATTGTAGTTGAAGTACATACATAGTTAATATATACATTTATTTAAATATTTAAAACAATTACGTGCCTTTTTCAAGAAAATAGTAAATTTAGATACTTGTAGGTAATATTCTAAGGTATCTAAATTTTAGAAAATTGTGAATTACTCAATATCAATTTCTTAGCATTTCATTGATTTTAAGTTTTTAATTTACATAATATACAATAATTGTAAATTAATTATTAATTTAAAATTATTGCAGGTCATGATGAATTAACAAATACATTTAATCAAATTGTAAATGGAGTAAAAAAAAAATATTTAGATGTATCAGATGTTAATGTAGATATCATAGATAAGTGTTTATATACATATCCATCTCCACCTCCTGATTTATTAATTCGAACATCAGGAGAAACTAGACTTAGTGACTTTATGATTTGGCAAGTAAGTATATTTTGAAATTGTTTTAATAATAAAAAATATATAAAATTTTTATATTTATTTATTAATAACTACTTTTTTTAGTGTTCATATAGTTATATGTATTTTACCCCAGTACTTTGGCCAGATTTTACAGCATGGGATTTTTTAGCTGCCATATTTATGTATCAAAGAAATGCTCACTTGTTTGAACACTATAATTTACCTAATAGTATGAGTTTAAAAGCTGAAGATTTTGTAAAAAACTTGAGAGAAAAACGTCTAAACAGATTGTATACAGTAATTTGATAATTGAGTTTTTATTTTTATTAAATTTTAATATTAGTTAATGTATTTACATTACAATTATATATACATTATGCATATGTAGAATTTAGTACATATATATTAATATATTATAAAAAACGTTATGTGAAATTATTTTTATTATTTTTGTTTTTTTTTGTCCAATTATTTTGATTTTTAAAACCGTACACAATTTGTTGTCAAATTATAAATTTCATCACTGCTTTCACCATTGAAATTTCCACATAAACCACATGTGTGTCCTCGTAGTTTACTTTCAACTAACATAAGTACTGTTTGACCATAGTGTTGAATTGTTACACCTGGGTGAATTTCGAGATCCGTCATTTCCTTATCCCATCTTTTAACTCTGAATGAAAAAAAATTATTATTTAATTAATAAAAAAATTATAATAATAAAAAATGAATAAATAACCTATAAATGAATGAATCATTTTTTGATTTTGGTGGAAATTGTATTGTTGTTTCCGTGACTTCTATTTCTATCTCATTCACGTGTACTCTGACTTTTGAACCATCATGTATCATGCTGATTATAGTATTTTGAGAAATCAAATGAATATCCTAAAAATAAAAATAAATACAATTTATTTAAAAATAATATTATTCAATTTTTAGTTTAAAATTTCTGAATCACTGAAACAATTGTAAGAAAATGTAAAAATAGTTTTCTCACCAATAATGAAGTTATAGGGTTTATTTTTATGCCTATGACAAATCGTGTAGCATTAGAACAGTCACCTAGTGCAATAGTATAGCAATCTTGATTCAAGTCAAAATTGTGTGTTGTTGAGTTGTCCAGGGTCAACACTGTTTTAGTATTTACAGCACATATACCTATTAGAATATTAAATCAACAAAAAATTTATATATTTAGCTATATGTTCATTATACACAAACTAACATAATTTAATGTAAGCTAAATGTTACCACAAAGTTTAGTTATAAAAAAAATTATGCTCTAAACGATATCATGAAAAAATTTCAAAGCAGAGAACTGATTACTTAGTTAATGGTTCTTAAGTGATAATTTGGAGGTATACGGTATACACCCACTAACGATTTCTTTAATGAACGTATAACCTAGAAAAATATAATTTACATTGAAGGGTATATGCTCATAAATCAGTGAATACCTTAAAATAAAAAAGTTTTTGCGAAAACATTACTGGTTCTTAAGTAAGATTTTTATTTTCTAACAGGACTTTTTGCCTACATGTATAGGGTCGTTGTTTTTTTATTAACCGTTTAATATCTCTTATAATGGTTTTAAAATTATTTTTTTCTACTTTTTTCGATTTATGAATTATTAAGCATTTGTTAGGTCGACTCTTTATGTATTATAAAGGTATCAAATTGATTTTTTAATGCAATATTTATATTTATCAAGCTTAAAAAATTTTCTAATCAAAAAGCGATAAATTTTGAACCAATAAGTTAAATGTTATTTAATTTTAAAGTGTACTGGGATGCGATTATGATTATTTTTTATCAATTGACATTTCTCAGTACGTTCATCTCGCATCTAGATATAAAAACATTCATGAATATCATTTGAAATAATGGTATTGAATAGTTGTGTTCTTAATTAGATAATTTTTTAACATTTAAGCATGGTAAATATAATTATAAAATAAAATAAGGCATAACAGATAGACCTAAAGAATACTTAATAATTCATAAAAAGAGAATTACAAAACTAAAAAAAAATAGAACATTTTTTTTAATGTTATTATTTTTTAGAAAAAATTGGATAGTTAAGTATGTTAATCACTCTGTATACTAATCAAATTACCCCTTGTCGTCCAGGGAAGTTTAGTCGGGAATGTAAATTTTGCTGTAGTTAAGTTTCCTTCATCGTGAACAAAATCTGGAAACAGTGAGTGCATTGTAATGATCATCCAATTTGGTAACTAGAAATATAATAGATCATTAAAATCAAAGACTTAGTATGATTTTTTTTTTTGTTACTTACATTGAGGAATTTTAAAGATATGATTTGACTGGTGGATATATCACTTGCTATTTGTAAGCATGTTGGAGAATCGGCTATACACTGTTCAGGCCATTTTTCGTGAGCATGTTCTGGTTTTATAGCTAGTGTCATTGTGGTAGCTGAAGAATGATAACCCCAAGAAACTGTGGCTTGGCCGTGCATTGGAGGTGGTGGATGAAGAGCACCAGATTTACGAGAAGGTAAAACAAATGAACCTTCAAATTGTAATAACCTCCAATAACCATTAGTGATAGTTATATCCCGTTCCCGGTTTGAATGGCTTAGTTTAAAAGATAGTTCTTGATTTCCATCGGCCAAACGAGTATAGTGAATACTCAAATCCCAAAGTACTTGCTCGTAATGATTCATAGTTATATGCACCGTGTTTCCTTCTTGCACATAAACAGGAACTACCTAAAAATTACCATAAGTTAAAATTATTAATTAAATTTATATTAGCTAGTACATGTTTACTGACTTGCAAAGGTGATATAGATAGTATTAGACCACAGCTGTCTTCTGGTGGTATAAATGTAAAATAATTCGATAGCGAATAAATACTTAAAAATGCTGCTCCACCCGGAATCGATCTACAAAAGTATGTATTTGAAATAAAATTAAAAAAATATAAAATTGGTGTACTTATTTTATAGCTGAAAATATAATAAATTTAAATGGTAAAAAAATAAAGTGTATTTAATTTATTGACTGTCATAAAAATTAATTTTATGAATTATGGTAGTTTGATACTGCCATAAAACGATATTGATACGATACTGGTATATATAAGTTTTAAATTATTATAATTCAACCTGTAGTTTTTGTTGCTGATTTGGAATGCTTCTTTGATTATCATTAATGAATTTGAAAATGTACCATTGTCTTGACAATCAAAAACGGCCGTAGCTATTTTAGCTCCAAGATCTCTTGATTCGAAAGCCCAATCCTTAAAAAATTTAACGCGAATAGTATAAACTAGTCATTTAAAATAATTTGTAATTAGGTGCTTACATCAGACAACAATTCGTTTTTAGAATTTTGGGTTAAGGACTCTTTCATAGGGAATAATTTAGTAGCCGAATGCCATACAACACCAAGTTTCGAACCGTCTACGAAATTTTTGTACCTGTGAGCAGATGCTTTCACGTATGATCTGAAGAATTGTGTGACGATTTCTGTAGAAAATGGTATTCTTGCGTGAATACAGCGGAAACGATCAGCGCCATGCCAAATATTGCTTAAAGGGTTGAAAGTTTTGAGGCTTGTTACCGTGTCCATGGAATATCTATATGATTATTATAATACATTAACACAAGATACATTTTTATTGTTTTAGGTTAGATTACCTGAAGTCTAGTTCTGCATCTCTGGATTTTCCACTTTCTGCCTGTTTAATACTTCCTCGTAATGATAAAAGTGATGCTGTACGAAACTGAAGCAAAACTGGAGTTCCATAATCAGTAAACATAGTTCTTTGGAATCGAAGTGGAAATGAAAGTCGTTGATAGTTGAAACTGAATTGAAAGTAAAGTGAACTTATCCTTTTCATTGCTAAATTATTTGTAATTGTGTTTATTATTATATAGCATGTGTTTGAATTAAATAATCTTACTATTAAAAAAACTATTAAATGAAGTTCTATTCATGTAATGGCAAAATATTGTTTGTTGGTTAAATTTGATAATTGCTTCAAAATGAAGTTCTTCATCATTACGAATCTTGAGTTTTGCATTCTCTAATACTTCTAATATTTTAGAAACGTTAACAACTTCAAATGATGGGTTTACAAATGAATTAAATATTTCTTTTTTGATATTAGTTGTAAATCCTTCAGCCTTGATATGAATTTCGAATTCTGAAGATGTACCGAAAGAATGCTGTTCAGCTGTTATTCGTAAAACTGAGGGGAAACCCGTGTGCTTGTTGGCTATTAAAATTGTCTGAACAATTCCACCATAACCTCTAACGAGATCTTCGTAGTCCAATATGTAATTTCCCGTAGCCCAATTATGCCATTTTTGTCTGACAAATCTTGCTATTTGTGAAATAGCTTTACTACTAAAAATTATAATGTAAATTAATAATTTTTTCACTGAGTCTATGTTTTTTTATTTTATTACTATTTTGAGTAACACGGATACTTGGAGTTAACCAGTGAATTTATAGTTGTGTAGTAGTAATTATACATATTTTGATTAGGTTCTGATTGCATGAACCAGAATAATGTTAAAAATCGTGAAATAGAAGGTTGAGACATCATCAACATGTCTAATGAAGATGCTCGAATTTCTAATGGTTCAGAATGGTTTGTAAATATTGGCCAAAAAACTTCTGCTACCTAATAATATCATATTGTATTTTGTACGTGATAATATATTTTAATAAAGTTAAAAGCTTTAATTAAATTACCTTTTCTGGATGTATGGTAACGGTGTACTTTGACGCCCAAATAGCTATTAAACGAATATGTCTTGAACGGTTGTTATCGTTAATGATAGGGGTCAAAAAATCTAATATATTGTTTATCTTCATGTTATTTAGTGCTTCGATGTACATCATTTGATCACCATAATTACTTGATTCTATAAATTCATAAATATTCCTTATTAATTGAAACAATATTTTGTAATTTCTTGTTTCCTCACCATGAAACCTATCCAAAAAAAGTTTTATATATTTGTTTTGAATGTCAGTCGAACACATATTATTGCTGCAAGTTTTTTGAATTAAGGTCGAGAAACTTAAAATTGCCACTTTCATAATTTCGGCATCTCTAATTACTTTGTCTAGGTTCAGTAACATTTCTGATTCTTGTAAGAGTTTTTCATTCGGATATCTTACATTGTAAGGAAACATCATTAACAACCCAGTTGCAAGAAAACTAGTGGCTTTTTGTGTTTTTACTAATTCTCGAATAAATTCCACTGATGAGGCAGACCCTACTTGGGGAAGTAGATCCCAAAATATATGCCTTAAAACAAATAAATGTTATTTGTTTTGAGTTTTGAGAAAATACATATTATTAATTTAGTTATGTTATTAAAAAAAATTACATACTGTACTGTTTCTTGAGAATAGCTGGTTCCTATTTTTATAGTATCGTAAAGCATGTTCCAGTCTGGTACATCTAGCCACCACATTAGTTCTAAAGCCCTAAATGAAGTTTGGTTGTCTAAATCTGAAGTTCCCAACTCCCAACTTAAACTCTCAGTTAGTTGCTCGAGCGCACCATGTATCTATATAGTATTTAGCAAATATTTCATTATAATTTATATTCTACGTTTAAATAAATATTGAAATTTTTACTTCACTTAATAACTGAGTTTTGTTGGATGGTTTAAAGCCTAAAGTTGGATCTTCGTAGTGATTGAAATCGTATTCAATTGTAACTTCTAACTTGTTCACTAAAGTTGTAATATCTGTTGATGAACTGATCCCTTCTAAAAAAATTGACTGGCTAAAATCATATAAGAAAATAAGTATAAATTGAATGCTAGTTTTAAAGCAACAATTCATATTTACTTTACAAATATTCGATGCGCTTCAGCTAATGCTTGAAATGGTTGAAATTCTATTGTACCAATTACATTGATCCTATTTATAATATCTTTGTCATCTAAAGAGTAATGTCTGATACTGTGACTTATACTTCCATCCTAAAAAGTTACTTTATTTAATAAGGATATATTTATGAGACTAATCCATTTCTTTCAGTGATGATCTAATATAAGATAAAGAATGTAAAGGACGTAATAAGTGACATATTTTTGAAAATATCAAGTTCAAAGTTTTCATTTTCCTTATAATATTATAAAAAAAAATAAAAAATATACAGAATTATATTTCATGGTGAAATAGGTTGGATTCCTTAATTACGTCTCATGAAATAACTTTGAATATATTAGAGTTTATCATGATTTTATTTTTTTAACATTAATGGTTCTTTGTTACTCTGCTTTACACGATAAATTAATTTTCTGCTACCATCTTTTATACACTAAACTCGCATCGACTTTTGATTTTTAAATGACAATCTCTATTAAATAGAGATTGTAATTTAAAATTTTTTTTTTTTATATCATCAGATTAAATCAACTAAAAATAACCCAGCACAGTGTGGTCGCGACACAGTGGGGATGTGGCATATTTGGGTCTAGTATAATGATATCTGACAGTGATTAAAATCACTATCATAATAAACGCTTTGATGTAAATATATCAATAATATATGTAAAATATCTTTTATGGCATAAGACACTAGACGCTTCTCTCTATTTCAACCACTCGCACTTAATCCTGTGTCTTACATTCTCGTCAATACCACTGCTCTTTTGCACTACTGATCCTAAATACTTAAAACTTTCTAGATAATTTGTCATGTTATGAGAAGAGAAGAATCGGAAGCTGTAAGAACAGTTATAGAAATGAATGTTGAAGAAAGAAGAGGTAGAGGAAGACCAAAAAAGAGATTGAGGTATGTTATTGAATACGATATGAGGACAGCTGATGTGAGCGTAGAAGATGTGGAAGATCGTGTCAAGTGGAAGTTTAGGATGAGGGTGGCCGACCCCAAGTAGTTGGGATTAAGGCAAAGAAAAAGAAAACGTTTAGTAGAAATTCCGGTGGCAATTGACATAATATAATTGTTGTTTGGGAATGTACAATATAGCGTCAAATCAATTACCTACTCTATCGGTTGTATCGTATTATACACTACACTTTAAAGATACTATAAATAAATAAACTCACTCATACACACACATGCATTTATAACATTGTGTCTAATGTAAGTATAACATGATAAAAAGTAACCGTAAAATGAAAAAATTGGAAAATAAATTTTAGTACACATATTAAATGTAATGTAACTCGAAAAATATTTTTTTAAATGAAAAAATATAAGATACCTTTTTTGTCTAAAATTATCTTTTAAACAACTTTTGTACGAAACTTTTTTTTGTAAGTTAAATATTTTTTGAAAAAATAAAAAAGGCTCATATTTTTGAACTTTTTCGAGGTGTAAAAAAAAAGCTCAAGTCCAATCGATGAAGACTTTTAGTATGTCATTATACATATCTTAATTCAACTTAAAAAAAAAAAATTTGGTTTGGAATTTTTTCCGCCATTTTTCCTTCGTTGACTGGCCTACTCGAAAAAATATAGTTGACACTTTTTTAAGTTATAATGAATGAACATAAAAAATGCTTAACGGTTGATTAAAAGAAACCACAAAAAAATTACCAAAATTTTCAATTCTTTGCTTAAATGTGTGATTTATGACAAAAGTATTAACCGGTATACTAATATTTTTGAATGCCACTTATACCCTTTTCATCTTAAACGTTAATCTAAAAGGATGTTCTCTTAATCATAATTATAAAATCAATCTCTGTGTTTTTATTAAGATAACAATGTAATAGAATTTAATAAAAATATTAAAAAACAAGTTTACTTGATAGTTGGAAGGACATGTAAATGGTGGTGTGTTACTCCATTGTTGCCCGAGTTTGCCGTTACAAGCAGAAAAATTGATTATTTTTTCTACATTTGTTTTATTGTTATCTTTATTGATAATGTATTGCGCACTACATTTTCCAAAGATACCTGTCTATAAAATATATTTGTAACTATTCGAGATGAGTATTTATACTATTAGTGTATTTATTTGAAACTAGTTAATATATTGTGTACTTACTTCTTGCGTTGTAAAAGCAGCTTGCGAGAGTGACTCCAATTTCAATTGAAATAACGCTGCTAAGGCTCTTTTAATATTCAACGACCCTGATACGTCATCGTATTCGGTTTCTATTTTTTGTATTTCTCCATCTTTATATGTACATCTAAATGGCCATGCAATCCACGGAAAGTATTGTTGTTTTTCTGTTGTTTGGAACTCTTTTATCTAATGATCAGAAGCATTTAGTATTCGTAGTACATTCATTAGGGAAACTACTTAATCATATGAAGTTCTGTTTACCTGAAAGGTTGTGTAGTTTTGGTTGCTTTGAACAACAAAGTAAGCATCAAACGAGTATTTTGTGATATGTTCTGAAGGGAGCACAGTACCAACATGTGTAATGGCTTTCCATCGGTATCCTAGTTGAACGCCGTTTGGAAATAGTTCACGATTACAATGAATGGAAAGCAACAAGTAATCTGTAGAATACAAAAAGTTTATATATAAAACTGCCTGTGAAAAAAAATTGAATTTTTAAGTCAATCAATTTAATTGGAAAATGTAGATAAATATATCAGATAATTTTGTTTTTAATTTTTCATTTAAGCTAAAAAGATATTTATATATGTATTTTTGTCGTTAAAATCATTATTTATGAATAAAATATTAATCGAATAAATTCATGGTTGTAATTATCACATGAATTGTGTATATTTATTATTGGAGTAAAATTGGCGAATTCTGACGACATTCAAATTGTATAGATTATAATAGAGAAAATTTGTTTATTTCTATCATGTACTTATATTTCTGCATTCCTTAGAACATATTATATGGTAAAATCAGAAATGCATGTGAATTATAATACAAATTGTGGGATTATACATAAGCAATACGTGTTATTGGTTATATTGTTTAAATAAAATATACGGTTAAATGTAGTTATCTCATGACGCACTTAAAGTCTCGTTTACAGATATTTAATAATATATTAAATATAAAAACAAACACACAACTCGAATGATTATTTTAAGTTATATATCTAAATATAAAACAACGTAGTTATAAGATAGCAACAAAAATAAAATTAGGTTTATTTTTTATGCAAAATGTATGTATCAATTTTAATGAATTAAGTTTATACATTTTTTGTATTAATTGATTTCTAATAATGAACTATTTTCACATTTTATCTAGTTAAGTTTAAAGTTAATGATTAATTATTCGATTGGTATGTCAAACTGCTCATTTTGTCGAATTTTAAAATTCAAATTTTTTAAGTAATAGTAATAACTTATACAGTTTTTAATCAGGTAAGTTTTGGATAATAATAAAATTGATATAAGTTATATATTCGTTAACACTAATAAAAGTGCAGATTTAAAATGAAAAATGTATTTTTAATATTTTCCATTATACGATAATGCTATATTCATGTTATTTATAAAAAAAAATTGTGCGTCATTTTCACCACCATTAATTCAATTTTTTATCAATGGGTTATTTAAAAATTTGTGTAAGAATGGTTTTAAATATAAATTAGGCTATATCTTTTATCAAGTATAAGGAAATTCGATTTTACGTATAACAATGGGAGTATGCTAATAGCTTGGCGACGATGTCAGAAGAATTTTTAAAACTAACTAAAACCATCTAAATTGTAAGGTCAATTTGATCTTACTAAAACTTACTCAAATTATTTACCGGAATATTTAACACATTATCGCATTTACATAGAATGCTTAATGGTATTTACGAGATAATACAGTTAACACCCAACACATTGCAATATTCCATTTTACAGAATAAAAGGGCTCTTTATTTCTTCAAGTTCCTAAAATAATGCAATTTATCCTAAACGTTTTTAAAATTGAATGCTTTTATTAACTTGTAATCTAAAATGTAGAATACTTATGTTATTATATATTTGCATGCATAATTTACATACATTTATCGAAATAATGTAGAATTGTTAATTAGTGCAAGTGGTGAGTCATATCATAGACACGTTAATTTTACAGTTATGATGATTTGAAATTAATATAATTGAAATAACACTAGCTTAAGATTTTATGTCGTGGTTTAAGATTTATTTCATAACATTTCTTTAGAATGAAATTATTTTATTTATTTATTACAGCTTGAATTAAATATGAATTGTTACTTAAAAATTGCTACATAATGTTGTTAATATTTTAAATTTTTCGACAATAATTATTATCCTATTATATTGAATATCAAATATTTATTTTAATGACAATGTTATAATGTCTAGTGTTTTACTGTTACGTAATTATCTATAGTTATAAAGAAATTGCTTTCGAACGTTATTCTTTAAGAATATTTCTGAACAACAAATTATGATTTATGTCTTATAATATACTGTATATAATTATAAATGTGTAAATTTATAGGATACGCTTTTTAAACTTTCATAACAAACAAATACATTACAATAGTAATATATTATTATGTATAAACACGTTGTGTAACATGCCGGTCAATGATAATAATCAATAGTTAAAACATTGATTGTTATAGTATAATTCAACAACACCTATTTGAAGATTATTTGTGAGAAAACTTTTCTTTTTTTTTAAATTTAATAATCAGACCTGTTAAAAAGCATGATTAAAACGTAAGTAAACAGATTAAAACGTAACAGTTCTGACAATAATAATTTTTTTTTTAATAAGTAGGTGCATAACTTGGTAAATATATTAAATAGATTAATAAATTGTTAAATGTTTATAAGTTTTTCAAAATCATAATGTTTTCAAAATATGTAAATAATTTTTAAATATACTTTTTATGTTTTATGCCAAAGAAAAATAACTAATGTCACTTATTTATCGAAATGTTTTTACTTGATATTTAAATTATCAGGTAGAAAAAATTCTATAAATCTCGTCTATGTTAGCCTTTTCTTCAATTACTACAGATTTTTATGGTTATATCAATATTCATTATAGTAGTGCGTTATCTCTTTCGTTGATCTATTAACAGCTAATATTATTTGTTCTAAGCTAACAATCAAATTACAAAAATAAACAAAACTCAAAAAAGTTTATAAATGTGTTTTACTGAATTGATAGAGAAAACTTTTTGTACCCATAGAATGCAATTAAATAATTATTTATGCTTAGTATCTAATGTACTTTTATGCATATTTCTAGGGATTCGGGGTATTTGTTATCGATACAATTTTTTTTATCCTTTTGTAAATTGTAAGCACTCTGTACACGACCTTTGAATTTTGCAACCAGTCATTTGAATAATACTGAATAATTTTTTTTTTTAATCGGAATTAGTAAAAATTAAAATTAAAAAATGTTTTCATACATTTAGTCGTGTGTTATAAAATATAACAATGTATTTGTATTAATAAATTGTCGATAAATAACCTTGGATGGTGAATCTTAGGATTTTTGTAGGCGTTGACCTGGTTGTGTGACCCATATCATTTGGAAAATGAATAGTGATTAAACATGTACTTACTAGTAAAAAAAACTAAAATGATAATGGAGTTCTTAGAGAAGGACATGGCTTCACTTAAAGCGATCACTGTTTGTGCTCGGTTGATAAGCCGGAGATGAAACCGAACTTAGGGTATAAACTAGTCACGTCATGATGTTATTGGCTAAGTCCAGCGATTAAACATTGGACAAAGCTGTTAATTATCCTGAGCCAATTACAATTATCAAAAAAAAATTTTCAACCGGCTTAAAAATATATTTGCTTGTATAGATCTAAACTAAATGAAGAAAACAAGAAAAAAATTCCGTTGTTATCGCGTCGCACAGGTATACTGCGTTAGAAACGGGCGGCTGTTCAGTCGGTCAATTTCAACCGCGGCGACCTATGAACCTTTGCTCAATAGATTGTTTCTTATCTGCGTCGACGTTTTCCCTACAACAATATATTATATATTATTATAATACATATTTAATCTATATAATAATTAATGCAATCCCCACTATCATAGCTGATAGCGATACCGTTTCTGTTATCCATATTTTATTGTAGTGCTGAGTAGTTTAAAATAAAGTTAAAATAAAAATCATCATACAGATCACGTACAGATGTATAGTATTCGATTAGAGGTTGTTCCCCACTAATATAATTTTTTCGATCTCCTTTTCAGGCTTCTGAGTTTGAACAAATGGTGATTATTTCAATATTAGCCACTCGATTTCATTTAATATAATTATTTTGTCAAGAAAATGATAAGTTAATAATAATTTTTGACCTATTATTTCGGAAGTTTTAACTTTTAAAATATAGTCGTGATAAGGTGTGGGTTATGTTATTTTTATCATTACGCATTACTCTGCCGTGTTCTTCTTCCACTCCATATTTAAAAATGTAAATAACTTCCGAAATACTATTTTAAAATTTGTTATCGTCCAGTAATTTTCTTTATTGAATCAGTTTATATTTTATAAGATAAAAGTATGTGTATCTTGTAAAAAAAAAAAAAATTAAGTTTTACTCTCTTATAAGATATAAGGGATAAATTATAACAATCTAAATAGTTGATAAATCAAGAAGTATATAAAATTAAAAAATATCAAAAAGAATTTTCTTAATATGATTATTATTTTAAGAGAAATCCAGTGGCTAATTTTAAAGAACCCAATATACTTATTAACGATTTTAGTTTTGACGTTTATACTTTTTATAAATGTGATTAACGGGTTATATTTTTATTTAGACTGGATACGTGTAATAAATTTAAAAATATAGACGCTTAAATTATTAAAAAATTATCGCTTACTGTATTGTATTACATAGTCTTTAGTACCAAATTATTAAAACATTCAACTCATTATATTTGTAATTTTTTTAATTGGAAACCTAGAGACATTATTTTTGTATGTAATAAAATATTAATAATATTTTATAATCAATTATTTTAAAAAGTTTGAATAAACTAATTGTTGATAAATAAAAAATCAATAATAAAAAATGTTGACGTGAAAAATTAGTATAAATGACAATATCATTCACAGTGCTGGACCTCAGTCTTTGCCCGGACAGTCCATTGAAAATTCACAAAAAAAAATACCAAAGTACATTTAATAAAAACTTTACTTGTTAATATTTATATTAAATTTAGATTTTAAATTAAGTATTTTATTAATAACAATTAATTTCATTATTCATTTTCAAAATCACGCTAACATTCATTCACTTTATTGGCTGGTCAAAATAAGATAGACATTAACACAATTTGTTTTACGATTGAATTTATAAAATTATTTATACAGATGAAACATTTCATAGAGATTTTTAGAAATCAAGATAATTTTTATATTATGTTAAATGTAATGAGGAAATATGAGTTTAAGTTATAATATTTAATGGGATTTGCCTAAGTTTGAAGTTGTGTTTAAACTATTTCAAAGTTTCATTGTGTAGGAAAAGACATTTTTTATATTATATTCATGTGCACGGAATAATTTACATAAATGTGATCTTACATTAAAACATTTTAAGTGATTTATAATATTAAACTCATTAGATTTGTAAGATAATTTATAGTATTGTTTTATACGACCAAAACAATCGTTTAAATTATAAGTATTTTACGCCTGATAAACATATTTCCTATTCCTTCTTTATCTTACAAAATTCAAGTTTATTCTATATCGATCAAGCTAATTAAATAGTTACGAAATATAGTTAATTTAAGTAGATATTTATTAGGTTAATTTAGAAAAATCTTTGAATAATTTTATAATTTTTTCATACCTTTTAATAAAAATTGTGTAATTTTTGATAAAAGTTGATTCTTTTCTCACTTAAATTTCAGTTTATCATGTGTTTCTTGGTTAGATATTTTTACCAATTAATTAAAGAATAAAAAAAAATAAACATTATGATCAAGCTATGATAAAAATTTACATCATTTTAGCTTCGATGCGAAGCTGATAAGGTATTGGTTTTACTATGATGTGTTTTTTTTTTTTTTTTTTTTTTTTTTT